CTCCATCACATACGACACGCTCTACTTCAACGGCAACCAGCATGTGCTGATGGAGTCCAATACCCAGCCCTTGGGTTTGAACAGAAAAGACCGCAGCCTCTATGTAGAAATCGACGGTAAAGAATATTTCATGCTGGTATTGCGAAACAACCACTATTCTAATGTGTCAAGCATCATGCGGCCGGTGATATGCATGAAATGTGGATCGCGCCTGCACAAAACCGAAGACGCTATGAACAACGATGCCATCAAGCTGGAGTGTTTGGAAAACCTTCAAGACTCTTTGACGCCTGATGCATATGACAAAGCCTGTCCAGAAACCAACATCATTGCATTCGATATAGAGACAATCACTAAAGACGGTGTGCTGATACCGTATTCGGTCTCATGGATGTTCGAAAACAAGATCTACAACGAAATAGGCTATGGCTGCGACGCAAAATTCATCAAGAGCATCGCTAACATCCAAGGGGTCAAGACATTGGTCGGATTTAACTCCAGCCGGTTCGACAACTACATGCTTGTGAAAAGACTGCTGTTAGACGGAAAGGTACTGAACAGCAATAACTGTGTCGTACACAGCAACCAAATCCTGCGACTGAACACAAGAGAATACAAAACATGGGACATATGTCAATTCACAAAATGCTCGCTCAATGCTGCGTGCGAGGCGTTCGGCGTCGAAGAAAGCAAATTAGGATTCGACCACGAGCATGTACAACGTCTGTTTGAAGAGCACGGCTGGAATTTCATAAATGTCATCGGCAAGGATGAAATCCGAGAATACAACGACAAAGACGTGGATCTAACGATGAAGCTGTTTAATAAAGTAAGGTCGGCACTGCATCAAATCACGGACATAGATCCACTGAAATGCATGACTCTGTCTCAGCTTGCTTACAAGCATATGTCGAACTACAACCGAGAGAGAGGTATTGAGATTGACAAAATCCCTGTTGAGCATGATTACATCTTTGACACCATCCCAGCCGGACGAGTGGAGATGTTCAAACCAGCAAAGCAATATTGCGGGCAGTACGTACAGTCTGATTGCAATGGGTTATACCAATATGTGTCACTGAATTATGATATGCCTAACGGAGTCATCACGCAGCTCGAGCACTACGACCCCGCCAAGATCCACAATAAAATCTATCTTGTCAAATGCAATGTGGACCAAACACGG